AGTGGTCGCAGCCCCAGAGGCCGGCACCCCTCCGGCGAAGGCGGACGCGAGCGCCGCTCCCATTCCCGCAGCTGCCGCACCGACGCGGAACCGCGTCGTGATGAGCGCCGCAATGAACGCCGATTGTCCACCCACGACCGCAGCAGACGCGCCTCAGGCGGTTGAGGAAGTGGCGATGGTCGTCGTGGAGTCCCCTGCTAGCGCCATGCCGCCGTCGCACGATGATTCCCCTAACGGTGAAACTGTCGCAAACAATGTGGCGGAGTCGGATCGCGCGAGGCCCTCGCAGGCCGCTGCTGCGGCCCCCGTCTTGAAGACTCCCGCTCGTGTGGAAGGCCGCGCGACCGTGGCCGCGACGACCAGCCCAGAGAAACCGTCAAACAAGGACAAGGACGGCGAATGGGAGCGTCGCGATGGAGACACCCGTCGAGCGAAGAGCGACGCCATTGCCCCATCACCTGAACGCCGCGAAAGAGGCCGCGTCCGCGAGACGAAACGGAAAAAGCGCGAAGACTCTCCCGAGGAATCAGACTCGCCGTCCTCTTCCAGCGACTCTGACTCGGGGGAGTCCTCGGCGTCAGAGTCCAACTACGACGGTCGGAGCACTGAAAGCAGCGAGCCTGAGTCCCTCGAGAGCGAGTCTGACGGCGACCGCAAGCGCGGCAAAAAGCGCGGCAGGGACAGGCGCGTCGGACGGCACAACGGTGGGAAGGATAAGGGGAGGGGGAGTAATGGCAAGAGGAAGAAAGGGGCGAGCAGAGGGAAGCAAGGACGTGGCGACATGAGGAAGCAAGGGAGAGGAGGGGAGGACGGAGGGCCTAGGGCTAGGCCCGCCAAGCATGGGTATGCTCCGTACCCGGCTGGCAGCGACGATTTCGAGAGCGGCTCTGCGTCTGAAGGTCCGGTGCTCATTCGGCGGACAGATTACCGCGACACCAAGTTTCCGGCGTATGCAACCGACAAGGCGTTTCAGGCGTTGACCATGTCCTGTCACACACCCATGGCCTGTCACACACCCATGTCCTGTCACACACCCATGGCCCGTCACACACCCATGGCCTGTCACACACCCATGTCCAGTCACACATCCATGCCCTGTCACACACCCATGGCCTGTCACACACCCATGTCCTGTCACACACCCATGGCCTGTCACACGTCCATGGCCTGTCACACACCCATGGCCTGTCAGCCACCCATGGCCTGTAACACACCCATGGCCTGTCACACACCCATGGCCTGTCACACACCCATGTCCTGTCACACATCCATGCCCTGTCACACACACATGGCCTGTCACACACCCATGCCCCGTCACACACCCATGGCCTGTCACAAACCCATGGCCTTTCACACACCCATGGCCTGTCACACACCCATGTCTTATCACACACCCATGTCCTGTCACACACCCATGTCCTGTCACACACGCTTTGCCTGTCACCCACATTTGGCCTGTCACACACCCATGTCCTATCAGATACCCATGGCCTGTCACACACCCATGGCCTGTCACACACCCATGGTCTGTCACACATCCATGGCCTCTCACACACACATGGCCTGTCACACACCCATGTCCTGTCACACACCCATGGCCTGTCACACACCCATGGCCTGTTACACACCCATATCCTATCACACACCCATGTCCTGTCACACATCCATGGCCTGTCACACACCCATGTCCTGTCACACACCCATGGCCTGTCACACACCCATGGCCTGTCACACACCCATGGCCTATCACACACCCATGGCCTGTCACACACCCATGTCCTATCACACACCCATGGCCTATCACACACCCATGGCCTATCACACACCCATGGCCTATCACACACCCATGGCCTATCACACACCCATGGCCTATCACACACCCATGGCCTGTCACACACCCATGGCCTATCACACACCCATGGCCTGTCACACACCCATGTCTTATCACACACCCATGTCCTGTCACACACCCATGTCCTGTCACACACCCATGGTCTGTCACACACCCATGGCCTGTCACACACCCATGGCCTGTTACACACCCATGGCCTGTCACACACCCATGTCCTGTCACACACCCATGGCCTGTCACACACCCATGGCCTGTTACACACCCATATCCTATCACACACCCATGTCCTGTCACACATCCATGGCCTGTCACACACCCATGGCCTGTCACACACCCATGGCCTGTCACACACCCATGGCCTGTCACACACCCATGGCATATCACACACCCATGGTTTGTCACACACCCATGTCCTATCACACACCCATGGCCTATCACACACCCATGGCCTATCACACACCCATGGCCTATCACACACCCATGGCCTATCACACACCCATGGCCTATCACACACCCATGGCCTGTCACACACCCATGGCCTATCACACACCCATGTCCTGTCACACACCCATGTCCTGTCACACACCCATTGTCTGTCACACACCCTTGGCGTGTCACACACCCTTGGCCTGTCACACACCCATGTCCTATCACACACCCATGGCCTGTCACACACCCATGGCATGTCACACACCCATGTCCTGTCACACACCCATGGTCTGTCACACACCCATGGCCTGTCACACACCCATGTCCTGTCACACACCCATGGCCTGTCACACACCCATGTCCTGTCACACACCCATGGCCTGTCACACACCCATGGCCTGTCACACACCCATGGCCTGTCACACACCCATGGCCTGTCACACACCCATGGCCTGTCACACACCCATGGCCTGTCACACACCCATGGCCGGTCACACACCCATGGCCTGTCACACACCCATGTCCTGTCACACACCCATGTCTTGTCACACACCCATGTCCTGTCCCACACCCATGTCCTGGTGGGCGCACACTACTAGCCTATAAAACACCCATCATGAAACTCTTCCATTATTCAACTTCGCTTTACCCTTCCCCTCTTCCTTCGCCTCTGTCCCGTCACGCCCTTTTGCTTCCCCTGTCGCCCCCTTTCACTCTCCCACCACCCATTTTCGATCTCTCGCGCCCATTTTCCAACCCCACCAATGCATTGCCTTGTACAGAAGCCATCTCCTAGGGAGCTCGCCCACTCCGTCCCTTCTCATGGCGAAATACGGAAAGATACACACAATGGATCATATGCTACATTGACATAGTAATTTCCTCTGTAGATTCGGCCCTTCTTTGGCACGTATGAGGACCGTCACAAAACAAATCGGGCCGGAAGTCACAAAATTGACACTTGGGTGACGCGTCAGTATATCCCCTAGAAAGACAAAAAATATCTTCAAGGGCAGTCCTCGGCATACTGGGAGTTTCATCGGGGAATGAACGCGGACACTCCTCGAGGATTGATTGGCGAATCCAAGCTGTACTGCTGACGATTCGTTTGTGATTACAGTACGCTGTACTCGTTATTGCGCAGTTTAAAGCCCACATTGTGATTGTATAACAATCTTGAATAATGTAAATTACATTTTGACTAAGTCGTATTAATAAACGGAACTTCCATACAATCACAAATATGTATAAGAACCTCTGCATAAGCACGTGTTTACATAAAACAATGTTGCGCCTAAACAAATGCACCTGCTTATTACACGCAATTGGCGCATAGGAAAAAACCGCATTATTCACAGCACATTAGTATCCTTCCTTTCGCCCGTTCTAATTAAACTGAATCGTCAGGCTAGATTTCAATACAGGTCAAACTGTTAGAATACAAGAATGACTAGAAACAAGGGTGAACAAGGGAGATATAGGGTTGGAGTTGTACCCTCTAAGAATACACCCCTATCTAGCCTATAACTTCTACATACAAATATATGTATAAGTTGACACACCTCCTAGGCTAGATAAGGGGTAGTGTTTGTTGTGATATAATGCATACTTAGCATTTCTGTAAGTCGATTATCGGTAGATAGTGTCGAATCCTACTGTAGAATATAAGTCTGTGGGATGACGTCAGCAAATAGCGCTCGTCATGAGGACAGTCGTTTCAGTCACGCGAATAGTCGCGTCTCTTCATTATCATTTAGGGCGCATAGCGCGATAGTGACGAACAGGTACATTAGCGAACAGGTACATTAGCGAACAGGTACTTTCCTAGAGCTATAAAATCCTTGTTATGCCTTTCTATTGTTCACCTTGAGATTTCAACTTTGAGACTTTAAACTTGACTTCAACTGAATTATATACTCAGGTTCATTCTTACAAAGACTTCCACTGTCTTACTTGTCTACCATTCCAGTAAAGATCCTAGGCTAACACTTGAGGTTTTCCAAGTGTTTGTGTTTGCAGATTCTACACTTAGTCTCGTGCAACACCTGTCAAATTATTACATGGTATGAGAGCTATCTGGATTTAAGACTACTGTCAACAATGACTGGGACATCACCAGCACCATCTACCGGATCCAGTTCTGGAACTACTGGAGTACCTGTCTCCACGACCGCCACTGGTCTCTCAGCCTCTGGACCGTTTCCACTGGCTTATGCGCACATCAGTATGCAGCAGCAGAATCCGCCTTCTGTCAGTACTCCAGGTGTTTCATCGACTGCACGTACAGCGCAACAACAACAAACACAGGCAACAGCACAACATCAGGCAACAGCACAGCAACAAGCAACACCACAGCAGTTTTCAACACAGTCAATATCGTCAGCGTTTAGTGGAATGAGCCTTGACGGCTCAAGTTACATGCGTGGAGCTTCAGCTCCAAGTACTGGCTCATTTGCCTTCTCGCCGTTTACGCAGCAGCCGCAGTCGCAGCAGCAGCAGCCCTTTTACATCTTCGGGCGATCACCTGCTCAGCAACAACAACAGCAACAGCAACATCAGCAACAACAGCAACAACTGCAGCATCCACAGCAATTCCAGCAACAGCAACAACCTCAACAACAGGGGATTATTTTTCAACCGCCAAATCTACTTACCAGCACGCAGATCAAGACTACTATACCTTTTAACGGAGTTGAATTTTACTCCTGGAGCTTCGAGTTTGAGCTTCTGGCGCAGTTCGCTGGGCTATGGCCGTTCTTCACCGGCGAGTTTACGTATCCTGTCATGGGAACACAACTGGAGCAACAGAGTTTCCTGCACGCCTCTCTCGGGGCGTATACGGTTCTAGTTCGGAACCTGTCGCCAAAGGAGCAGCTTGGCGTTCGATCTTTTCATTCAAGCTTCACGCCAGCTGAAACTGCATGGAACCACTTAAAGGGGGTGTACATGGCAAAAGACACAATAACAGCAAGTAAGATTCTTTCGCAGCTGACAAGTGTGCAGATGATGACAAACGAGAATGTCATGGATTACGTCAATCGTGTTCGCACACTACAAGATCAACTGGAGAAGAGTGGAGGATACTTCCCTCGTGAGATGTATCTCATGGTCCTTCTTGCTGGACTTGGTCCCGAGTGGCGACAGACGCGCGCCTTCTTGCGCATGAATCGGAACCTCTCAGAAACCGAAATTTCGTCGTATCTTCAAGCGGAACAGCAAGATCTTGACCTGCAGTCACAACGCAATCAGAAGAAAGGATTACAATTAAGTTTTTACTCAAATCCAGAGCCACAGCAACGACTTCCCCCGAAATATCCCTTCTGCCATTTCTGCAAGAAACCAGGACATACTTACCAAACTTGTCGCAGTCGTTGTCAAAACCGTCGCAGCACTTCGCAACCATATCATCGTTCGCAGCAGTTACCGAAGCCACATCAGCAAATGCAGCAGTCGACGTCCCAGACGCAGCAGATGCCGCAGAGTACACCGCCATCACAGCATCGTCCTCCGGTCTTTGCATCTGCAACATCAGGAAAAGGGGTTTTTGGATGTGTTACAACAGTTGATATTTCAGATACAGATTTCGAGACACAACTTGAAGAAACCACCAGTGCAGAGGGCATTCCCTTACCGCAAGTTTACGCTAACCTTGCTCGAGTCATTTCAGGACCCAATACTTGGTATCTCGACAGCTGTTGCGGTTGGCACATGTGCTCCGCTGAAACAAGCGTCATCACCAACCAGTGTCCTCTTCATCGTCCGATAACAGTCACAGTTGCAAACGGACAAACCATTATGGCAAGATCTATTGGGAGTGTAATACTTGAATCAGTCGACACGGGATATTCCTTACACGTTACCAATGTTCCTATCGTCGCCAGCCTTGGTTTCAATCTTCTCTCCACAGCTCAACTCCTGGCACACAAGATTCGCACACAAGGGAATTGTGATACAATGGATCAGGAGTTATGGCACAGTTTATCAAATACTTACCTCGGTCGCGCTGCTACTCAACATGGAGTATCAGTTCTTCAGTTCACAGCACAGGGCACCTCTGGTGATTCTGAACGCGTCCTTGGTCTCGGTCCCTGGGGTCACCCAGAAGAAACATATTATATACACGTGGATATTGTTTTTCGGGCAACTACTGTACCAACAGCTTCTAGAACTGTAGCTGCCGTTCTTACCGCACTGGATACTTGGGAGTTTAATACCGCCGATGAAGGCGCCAATGCTTGGCGAACCTTCTATAACACCCGTGCAGCCTTCCAAGGAACTCCAGCTCCACTTTGGGGAGAAATCAGTGGACTTGCAGCTGATGAACCCGAAGTCGTCGAGGAAGCCGTGAAAGAAGAAGTCGCCGAGCAGCCGAGTCTTCCAGTAGCTGTCGCAGGACCATCTGCCATCAAACTGTAACATCAAAAGAAGCAGTATCAGAAATTGCAGTCGCAAATACAGCAGACACTTCAAATGTTCAGTTACCCCTTACCCGTTTCGTCGAAGGGGAGATTGACATGTCTCCAGCTCTTTCTCCTTTCATCATTTCTTCATTTTATACTAACGCCGACTTTTATCTGCGATCATCAGGACACAAAGCCACATAAGAAATTTGGCACCAACGGTTAGGACATCCATCGCAAGGGATTTTAAATCATTGAATCCGAGCAGCAGTTCTTGATAAAAACAGTCTTCTCTTACCTGACGGCACGGAGATGAAACCGCAGTCTCGCCCAACGGTCTGCACCACGTGTCCGGTCACCAATCTTACCCACGACCCGTTTTCGAGTCATTTTCCTGGCTCCACTCGTTACAAACTGATGCAGAAGGTCTACAGCGATATTCTTAACTTACCTGAAGCAGGACCTAAAGAAGAGCTGTACGTGATTACCTTCATCGAAGCATCTACTCGATATGTTTGGACAGCAAACCTTCCTGCTCGACATCTCGCCCATTCAGTCTTCGTCGCATGGCTCGCCGTCGCTGAAAGAGAGTCTTGAGCAAAACTGCAAGAATTCCAGAGTGATGGCGCAGGGGAGTACACGAGCAACGCTTTCACAGACTACCTCCAGACACTCGGCATCAAACGGAAGCAGTCACTGCCACATGCACACCAACAGATGGGGGTAGCAGAAAGGATGAATCGGACTCTGCAGGAGAAGATGCGTGCTCTGCTGACGCAGGCAGCCCTTCCTCCTCGCTTTTGGCCGTATGCGATGGACCACGCCGTGCTGTTACACAACCTGCTGTCTTCCACATCACTGCCCGAGTTTTCTTCACCTCACCTGCAGTGGACACGAACAGTGGGAAGTACAAAACTTTTACGAGTTTTTGGGTGTGTCGTGCAGTTTCGTCCTCCAACTGCAGCACTCGGCAAATTTTCCGAACGGGCAAAATGGGGGGTACACCTCGGCATCGAAAAATAGTATCATGCATGGAAGATTTTGGATCTTCGTTCAAACCAAATTGTCCCTTCACGTGATCATCTCTTCTATGAAAGACTCACCTTGCCAGTTTTTCGTGCCCACCAGGCAGCAGCTGCAAACCCTGCCAGGCTGTTCGAAGGCTCGCGTGCATTTGCAACTGACGAAGCCGAAGCTGATGTACAGGACGAGGCGGTTTCTGAAGCTTCCGAAGCTACCGCAACTGACATTCCCGAACCTGTCACGTCAACAGGCATCCCGTAATTTATTCCCCTCGCTGATGTTGACCCGGATGACGTTCCCGAAGTCCACCTCAGCTACGAACGCGATCGCCAACAGCAGCCGATGCCACCCGTCTCCGACGAAGCAGTTCGTGTTACACCTAACGAAATTGGGGGGGGGAGAAGGGTCAGAAGAAAATTTCGCAGGTGCAAACGAAGAACGTCCGCGTTTTACAGAAACTGGCTTACAGATACTTGGATTCGCAGTCGCAGTACAGTACAACGACAGTAAAATATCTTAACCGAAAACCGTTCGACAAGCTCTTACGAGTCCTTACCCGCGAAAAATGGCGCAAAGCCATGGACAGAGAGCTAGCAGCTCTCAAGACTCGCGGCACATGGGAGTTAGTACCGACATCAGAAGTAAAAGGGAGGAAGGTACTTGCCGGGAAGTGGGTCTTCCGTGTCAAGACTAATGCAGATGGGTCGTTTGAGAAATTCAAGGCGTGATGGGTCATCCGCGGGTTCGAGCAGACTTACGGCATCGACTACGAGTTAACTTTTGCTCCCGTCGGTCGACATACGAGCGTTCGGATTTTACTCTGTGTCGCCGCCTGCCGCAATCTACGACTTCGACAAATCGACGTGGCAAACGCATTTCTCTACGCACCCGTCGACACACTCATTCTGGTAGAGTACCCACATTCGTATACTACTAACCCACCGAGCGTATGCCGTCTCCGAAATTCGCTATACGGCATTAAACAGGCACCCCGGCTATGCGAGCAGTACCTACAGTACATTCACAGCTACTCACTGCTGGATTCCGTCAACTACCGCATGACCAGGGGATGTATCTTTTAACTGACAGGAGCAACTATATTTTACTTGTCGCCTACGTCGACGATATTCTCTACGTCAGTACTACCGACTCGCTCGCCAATACCTTCATACTGAAACTACAGAAAAATCTACAGCTTACCGTCTCCGAGACAGTCTCACAGTTTCTCGGTTTAAATATTACCTACTCACCGACGTCTATTCACCTCACCGCTTCGAAGTACGCAGCGACGCTCGCTGCCCGCTTCAACCTCACTCCTTCTACAGTCACTACACCGTACCGATCACTACCGACAGACTACAAACCGAATACTACACCGTTGAGTCTAACCGACCTACAGACCGATCAACAGCAGTTAGGCTGTCTACTCTTCACCGCTGTTACTTGTCGTCCAGATCTAGCGTACGCGGCTAGTCAACTCGCACAGTTCCTACGCCGTCCTGAAGAAGAACACCAACTCGATCTTCTTCGCGCGCTTCAGTATTTCGTCTCGACTCCTGACGTCGGCTTAGTCTACAACGTCGTCGGCTGTAAAACTCTATACCTACACCGTTTCGTCGGCGCCGACCACGCTGCTGATACTACTAATCGGCGCTCGCGTGCTGGATTCATCTACCGCCTTGAACCTATCGGCCCTATTTCTTGGAATTCGATGAAGCAGGAGCGGATTGCTCTCTCCTCTGCTGAAGCTGAATTTATCGCTGTCTGCACAGCAAAACGCGAAGGACTTTACCTGCAGGAGCTCTTGGAAGAAGCAAAGTTGACGACAAGTACTCATATCACTTTACAGTGTGACAACCAGAGTGCAATTCGCATCGCGCATCAACCTGGCTTCGTGAACAGGACGAAACATATTTCACTACGTTATTTTTTCGTCAAGGATGAAGTCGAGAAGGGGAGAATGCGATTGGTCTATTGTTCGACCAACGAAATGGCTGCCGACTTCCTCACGAAGAAGCTGACACGACAGAAGTTTCAGTACTGTAACAAGCTTTGCGGGATCTTCAAGAAGTGACACTGTCGAACTTCCAGAAATGAAGGGGAGTGTTGTGATATAATGCATACTTAGCATTTCTGTAAGTCGATTATCGGTAGATAGTGTCGAATCCTACAGTAGAATATAAGTCCGTAGGATGACGTCAGCAAATAGCACTCGTCATGAGGACAGTCGTTTCAGTCGCGCGAATAGTTGCGTCTCTTCATTATCATTTAGGGCAAATAGTGCGATAGTGACGAACAGGTACATTAGCGAACAAGTACTTTCCTAGAGCTATAAAATCCTTGTTATGCCTTTCTATTGTTAACCTTGAGATTTCAACTTTGAGACTTTAAACTTGACTTCAACTGAATTATATACTCAGGTTCATTCTTACAAAGACTTCCGCTGCCTTACTAGTCTACCATTCCAGTAAAGATCCTAGGCTAACACTTGAGGTTTTCCAAGTGTCTGTGTTTGCAGATTCTACACTTACTGTAGTCCCCTGCAACACCTGTCAAATTATTACAGTGCTGAGCAAGAAACACGCAGCTTAGGGTGGCACTACTAGTCCAAACTCTGAGACAGGGGTCCGAAAACCAGTCAGCAAGAGTATAAACAAGACAGGAGCAAAACAGGGCGGCACTACTAGTCCGGCCACTGGAAGAGAAGCCACAAGGCCAGTCTGAAAGGTATATATAAAGAGGAGTACACAATCAAGGTCCTAGCAAGTGAGAATCTACAGGAACTAGACCAAGCTACAAACAGTGCCGCTGATGATCCTTAGGCGCAAGCGCTTTAGTAAAGATATCAGCTATGTTGGCACCAGAGGCCAAGTGTACTACGCAGGCCTGGCGACGCTGTTGTAGCTCGCGCAGGAGGAAGTACCGCAGCTGGATGTGCTTCGCTCTGCCCTCAAGTCGAGGCTCTTGACAAAGGAGGATCATGGTCCTGTTGTCAGCGTTCAGAACCGGGGCAGAGCTAGGCCGCTCACCTAAGTCGGTGAGCAAGAAGGCCAGCCAGCAGAGCTCCTGTGCCGCCATGGCACCGGCGTAGATCTCAGACTCACAGCTAGACTGGGCAACAGACGAGGAGCGAGTGGACCTCCATGAGATGGCACCTGAACCAACGCTAAAGCAGTAGCCCTGAGAGGACCTGAGGGTCTCAGCGTCGTCTGCCCAAGATGCGTCTGTGTGCCCAGTAAGGACCACTGGCCTACGTCCTCCCAGCACTAACCCCGTGCCCGTTGTACTTGCTAGATAACGCAAAACTCTCTTAGCGGGCGACCAGTGCTGTGGTCGGTGTCTGCCTGTGGCCACAAAGCGAGCCATGATGCTGAGAGGGTATGCGAGATCTGGACGAGTGCAAGTCATTAGGTACATGAGGCAACCCACCAGCTCTGCGTAAGGACCAATGGGCTTTATTGACTCCTCTGGAACTGGAGCAGAGAGCCTGTGGTCTACTGGCTGAGGTGTGGGCTGTGCGGAGGAGAGTTGAAGACCGAACCTCTGAAGGACTTGGCGCACCAAGTGTGACTGTGAGAGAGTGATGGTGCACGCTGCTCTGTCCCTGGAGATCTGCAGACCAAGGTAGCGGCGCAGCTCTCCTAGGTCAGCGCAGGTGTGTCTCCTCAGCAGCTCGGCCTTCACAGAGACTAGTGCGTCTCTGTCTGCAGTAGCGAAGACCAGGTCGTCTACGTAGACAAGGATGTAGAACGGAGTCTGGCCAGCACGAACGAAGAGCGAGGGGTCTGCAGAGGACGGAAAGAACTGCACGTCAGCTAGCGTAGCACGCAGCATGTCGTGCCACTCACAGGGCGCCTGACGTAGGCCGTAGACCGGGTGCCGGAGAAGCCACTGCGTCCTAGGAGGGATGGTACCGGTGAAGCCGTGTAGACGGCGCAGGTAGACCTGCTCGTGTAGACTGCCCTGGAGAAACGCTGTGGAGAAGTCGAGGGAGTGTAACTCGTAGTCATGCTGTGCGATTACGTGCAGCAGCGCCCGAAGAGTAGTCGTCTTCGGGGTCGGGGCGAAGGTCTGAAAGAAGTCCACCCCCTCACGCTGACTGAAGCCTCTAGCCACGTAGCGTGCCTTGAATACAGGCGGCTCTCCAGGGGGGCGCTTCACTTTGAAGAGCCACCGGCCATCGACCACGTTCACCCCAGGTGGGGGAACTGCGTCGACGTTGGTGCCGGTGGATCTCCAATATGACATCTCCTGCTCCATGGCAGCTATCCACTGAGAGGCCCACGGTCCCGAGGTGGCCTCAGCGTAAGTGCGAGGGGTCGGGATGTCAAAGGCGTCAGGGTCACCCTCATGGACTAGCAGCATGGAACAGAGATGGGGAGCAGCCTCAGACAGGAAAGCAAGCTCGTACTGCCTATCCTCTAGGACGTCACTGCCAAGGGCATGCGCACCCCCAAGGGATAGAGGGCAGACACGGTCAGAGACCAGAGCGGTGGCGTATTCAAGGTGGCGGATAGAGGCGAAGTCAGCGATAGCAGCGACAAGAGCGTCACGACTGGAGACAAGAACCGACGGGTCGGTAACGAGGAATGCAAGGACCCGAGGAACAAAAGGACGAGCAGCACCAAGGTAGTTAGAGAGAGGGGGAGGCGCGACAGCGAGCGACGACGGAGGAGGCGAAGGCAGGAGGGGAGGACGAAACGCGTAGGAACGAAGCAACATAGGGTGAGAACGCTGAACAGGAGATACAGGACGAGCACGAGAGGGACGGCGAGACCAGACGTGAGACGAAGGCATCTGGTTAGGAGACAGAGGAGGAGACACAAGGGAGGAACGAGGGGGAAGACGAGCCGGAGACGAGTTCGGTGGAGGGAACACAGGGCCTTAGACAGGAAGAGGAGGAGGTGGCGGGGGAGGCGCAAGCGAGCGGTCAGGGGAGGGAAGGCCGAGCAGGCAAAGGGCGGACACCGGCGGCGACTGCTGCTGCTGCTACTGCTCGACGCCGACACCTGGACCGCCAGCTGCACCACGGCCACCGCCGGAACACACCACGCCAGCACCCCCAAAAACGCCCACCCTAAGAGCGAGAACTCTCTCCAGCACCGGTGCCACCCCTATGCCCACCGGGACAAGCCACGACAGGAACCCCTGGATTAGCACCCTCCTCAACGCCAGCAACCCCAGAGTCCACGAGCGGCTGCAACTGCGGCGGCAGCAGCGGCTGCTGCGGCGGCAACTGCGACGGCGGAGGAGGAGACACCAAGGGAGTGGCAGGCAGCGAGAATGGCGCCGCGGGGCCACCAGAGTCAGCCGACTCCTCGATCGGGACAACCGACAAGAGGGGAGTGACGTGAGACACACCAGACGGAGCAGGACGGGGAGGGAGGTGAACAGGGGCTACCGGGGGAGTGGGAACCAGAAAGAGGGGAGTTGGACCCAAGAGACCTCGGTGGGAAAAGCGGTGGTAAAAGGAGACAGAATCGTCGAAAGTAGCTTCATGGGAGTGAAAGAAGCGGTGAGACGGCGGGTTGTAAAAGTGCCAGTCAGTCGAGTCAAGTGGGAAAACCCAGGAAGACACAGGGGACAGTGCGGGCAGTGAGCTTGTCCGTGCCAGAGGCACGAACATGAGCGAGGCAGCCCCAGACGTGGAATGCGAACGCATCATCAGGGAACCCGGTCCAAAGAAGGGTCGACGAAACCTGTGGTCGCTGGGAGCGCGGCCACAGGTTAAGCTGGTGAGCGGCGTAGCGAACGCCGAACGGCCACAGGAAATGGGATGCACCGGCATGGATCATTGAGGTACGAGCCACCTCCATGACCAAACCGATGCGTCGCTCAGCGACCCCATTCTGCTGCGGGGAGTCCGGTAGGGTGTACGACTGGGTGATGCCCTACGCACGATAGAACTGTCCAAGCCGGCCAGAGGCAAACTCGCCGTCACGGTCAGAGTGGAGACACAGCACAGGGAGACCGTGGTGGAGGCGTGCAGCTACGACGCGCGCGATAAGAACGTCAGGCACGTCGGCCTTCCGCTTCATATGTAACATGCATAGGAGGGGCCGGCGGGGTGTGGGGGGATAGCTACTAATGCATTAGACGGCGGATCCGACTTAGAGACACTCTACGAAACAAGCGTGAAAGTGGCGGATAACGTGGAAAGAAAAAAGCGAAGACGATGCAGCAAGTATGGAATCAGGAACACAACGATGGGTGCAAAGCTATAAGGTGAAGGCTGGGTAAGTTGTGGTTCCCTCTAGTAGTACGGTGCAGTAAGTTTGTTTCCGGTGGCGTGCTCTGGGAAGATAGGTGAGAACGATTAAGTGGGGTATTGAGATAAACTTGTGCATTTGAGCCCAGCCTTGGTTTCATTTGGTTGGTCGATACACTTCGTGCCAGCACCACAACAGTCGTGCACGCGTGGCGCTTGCTATTGGCTGGCTTCGTAGGCACTGCACACCAATAATATCATGTACTCGTTTACAGGGCTGCGCTAGTAGCAAGTAGTTGTAACATTTAGTATATTGTATGTTGTAACAGCGTCTTTGTGAACCAAAGTTTCCGTCCTCCCACAGGCCAACCAATCAGAAGGGGCTCGGCCTTTTTTGTAGGCACGTGTGCGCGAAATTCAACGCGGTAACTTGGTTGGCGTGCAAAACTAGCAGCATCAGGATGTCGCCGCCCCTTTTCGCCGAAGCCCCCTCACACGACTTTGATGAGGGGGGTACAGTCATCTTTAGGGTTTCGCACTGGTTGTCACATTTTGCCAACAAACAAAATAGAGTCAACTTTGCCTGTGCCCAGCGGAGACTAGACACTTCAGTTTTTTGCGGGGCCAACTTTTTTGTGACGACAAAGTGTATGGTTCAAGTAGGAGTCGTGTACTTACATTAGATTCAAGTCAACTTAACGAAACTAGAGCAGATGCTTTCAGAGCGTTTCAGAGCGGTACCATGGGTTCCCTTAATCTTTCGCGTACGCTCTACTCTGTCTCAAGAAGTTTTGCATCCTCAGCCGCATCACACGGCTCAGCAGCACTCAAGTTCAGGCTTGAGATGCAGAGCGTATCAGGGAGTGTTCCTAAACGACACGATGCCAGGTCCCTTCGTGAGTTCTTGAGATTTTGCTGGTAACAAATTCCCGTAAATAACATTTTGACACGCAGTAGCACGACATGGCATCGCGTAGGAGCAGGCCCTCAGGCTGACTCCGGAATCAAATCGTCCATCCGATTAGTCGGGGCATCGTTTGACAAACGCAGTCGCATCCAGTCTACGAACACAAGAAGCGCCAAGCGGAACCCACGTTCGAAGACTAGTTGCCCTGAATGTATAAGATTTTATGGTAGTTTTCGGCATTGAGTTTGGAAATTCTAGTTTCGAAAATGTTTTCAAGTGGCGGGCGCGGGACTCTGGACAATTTAGACGTAAACATTTCCACCACCTGCCAAACCTTTCTCATTTTCGATTGTGAGGCTGGGAACCTTGTTTTGGTCAATGCACCCTCGCGCCCAGGGGCTATGCTCGACGAGCAACTACCCAAATGCTGATTCTTAACGGGTGTCTTTTGACCGGAACTCCCTTTTTGACGGATTCGGGTCACACCGACTCCGCTGGTTCTGGGGTCTCTGTTTGCTCGAACCTGGCTTTTAGCCTGCGTTCTGGCGGATTTTGACCCGAAAACGGGCCCTGACGGTACGATGTCCCCCAGATGACTGGTTAAAATCCATTCTGAAGTCCCGCGCTCCCAGAGTAAATCCTGAGGGGTACCATGGTCCATCCATGGGTTCCCTCGTTCAGGGAGCCCTTCTCCGCAACAAAGTTCCACATCCCCAGCCGCATCACACGGCTCACACACACACCCAACGCGTTTCGAGACGCACACAAAAATCAATCGACAATCCGATTGGTCGGGGCATTGCATGACTCGAAACGCAGTGCTTTTCTTTCTGCCGAGGTTAAACACAAAACAAGCAGCCATACCACGATAAAACGCATGAGACCGCGTGTTTATTCTCTACACCGCTTGTCACCCATGTTCATTTTCGAGCGTGAGTCCCGGAACCCTTGTTTCCTCCACAGCCCACCTCACGCGCTGAGAACCCAGCCACTTCTGCTCCAACGAATGCATAAAGCAGAGCCCTGTTCTGCTCGTTACATCACACAAGCACGTGAACACACATTGCCCAGAAACACCCGATCCTTCTGCTTCTCTCTTCCGCCGAGTAGTCCTCTCAAAAACTTCGAGGTCCTCTCCCTCTTCACTCGTTCCGTCGAGAAATTATCTCGCTCCCTCTTTTCCAAGCCGCGCGAGGCATGGCATCGTGGTGGAACCAGCTGGCGATTCTCGGAATTTGCGCGCTGATCGCGGTGCTCGTCGCGCCGGCGGCGGCGAAGCGGCCCAGCAAGGAGGAGGTGATCGCAGAGGTGAAGAGCGCGCGCGACGCACTCAAGAACCCCGCGATTTCCAGCAAATACCGAATAACCACCACCTTCCTCGACCACTTCATCCCGAAATTGGGTAAGTAGCATGAAAGCTCTCTGTTAAAAGCTACATCTCTCGGCATGTTTAAACCGGAGTTATAACTCGTCAACACCTTTTGCGCTCAACTATTCTAGTCCACGTTCTCCTCATAGCTTTCATCATGAAATGTGTTGACGAAATCGAGCTCTGGTTTCTTGTGTTGGTGTGAGCAATGCAATGCAATGCTTCAGAGAGCGACTGGAATCCGACGGACGAGACGCTCGGCAAGCTGGACCGCAAGGCCATGCTCTTCCCCGCGGACGACGCGCTGCTCACCTCCGACTCCGCCGGCGGCGGGCGTGAGCATGATGCTGAACCCGAACGCGGACCTGGAGGACGCCAAAGGGTACTGGAACTGGCTGCGCGCCAACATGGTGGACGGGCTCTACTCGGAGCAGGAGATGAGCGACGCGCGTGAGCTCAAGGACGTCAATGGCCGCAAGATGAGCAAGAGTGAGGACGCCGCCGCCGCCGCGTCGGCGAATCTGAGGGGGGGAGGAAGATGCGGTTCGGGAAGGCCAACGCGCAGATTAACGACCCTGAGATTTTCAAAGGGACGTTTCTGATCGTTCATGGTGTGGACGCTCTGCAGTCGCCGTACTGACCCGCCTGCCGGATCAAAGCGTTTGTGCGAAAAGAAGCTCGTCTGGCTGATCAGCTTCGTAGGCCCTACGACTATTGGAGAAAATCTCGCGAATCCCGTTCCGCAGCGAAAATTGGAATATAATCGGACGCGCGAGACGGGATTCGTGAGATTCGCGAGATTCTCTCCATCTATTGTGTGTTTCCTTGGCGCTCTCATGTGTCTAGATTACGCGTTCCTGGTAGAGCTATCTGGGTGGAGCAACGCATTAGTGTGATGGTGCTTGGCTGGAGGCTCCGGCTAGGATGGGGTTTACGGAGGGGGGGGTAGTAGATTGGAGAAATGCAGCGGAGGGTGAAAGGCTTTGTTCGGTGTACAAACTTCAGAAGTAATTATTTACTAGTTGATGCGTTTGAAGTTGCTCCATACATAACTTTTCATGCAGCATGATGCTGTCCTTGTCCATGCATCCTGATTAGAGTCTCTTCAAATTACGATATGGGAAGCTAGGAATAGAGCCGCTACAGGTTGGATAGGAATTACACCCAGATAAAGAAAGAGTGTCGCTGTTACACAGAATGCGCGTTGATTTGAAACAACCTTACAGAATGGTCGTCTGAACAGGAGGCTAGCTCCAAGCAGCTTCCTTCCCCCTTTTCTACGCCCGCCTCCCTACTATCCTCAACCCTCGTCCCTCCTGCCCTGCTATCTCCCCTCCCACCCTCCCCTCGCCATCGCAGCCTATGAACAGCTGCCAGGTGGCAATGAATGTCACTGAAAGTCACCAAAAGCCTTGACTGGAGAAGGTGAGGTGGTGGTGGCGGTTGGTCCAAGCGTCTGCGCTTGTGTTGCTTGCGCCTTTGCTGCTTCTGCCTGCGGCTGTGCGGTGAGGAGGCTTCCACCGCGTGTTGCAACTTGCAGCGCGCGAGCTCCAGCTGCGCTCCAAGCAGGGGCACTGGGGGAGTAGAAACATCAGCAAGAAGCCGTCCCTCTGCCCGCGAGCTCCTGCTGCACTCCTGCAGCTTTTGCTGCTGTCATCCCATTGACCGTCACTGGTGTCGTTGTCATTGCTATTGCTAATGTGTTACCCTCAACATTGCTTACAATCTGAATTTACTCCTCCATTCGTCCACCCCCAATCATTTCACGCCCATTACTTCTCACCTTCTCACCTCCATTCGTCTAACCTTCCCTTCCCCAGTTTCTGCAACTTTTGCTCATCTTTTGACGATCTAGGTCGGTATTTCTCTCACTTCCTGTCTTCCCTGCTCCGTTGTCTTATCTTGCCGTTGATAACTCGTTCATCTGTTCCTCGCTTTCCCTCTTTCTGCCTCCCCTCACCAATCACTGTTCGCTGCTTTGAGTCCCTGCATCTCACTGTCATCTATACTGATCCCAATAACTTCCTCTCACCAATCTCTGACTCACCATAACCCACTCTCATGCTTGAATCATGTTGCCCTGCCTGTAGTTTGTGCCTGCCAGCCAAGTCAGATTCCCAAGTCAGATTCCTGAGTCAGATTCCCAAGTCAGATTCCCAAGTCAGATTCCCATGTCAGATTCCCATGTCAGATTCCCATGTCAGATTCCCAAGTCCGATTCCCATGTCAGATCCCCAGGTCAGATACCAAAATCAGATTCCCAAGCCAGATTCCCATGTCAGATTCCGAAGTCAGATTCCCAAGTCCGATTCCTGAGTCAAATTCCCAAGACAGATTCACAGGTCCGATTCCCAAGTCAGATTCCCATGTCAGATTCCGAAGTCACTCTCCCAAGTCAGATTCCCAAGTCTGATTCCCGACTCTGGTTCCCAAGTCAGATTTCCGAGTCAGACTCCAGAGTCACATACCCGAGACGGATTCACAGGTCCGATTCCCAGGTCAGATTCCCAAATCAGATTCCCCAGTCAGATAACCAAGTCAGATTCCCGAGTCACATACCCGAGAGACTCACACGTCCGTTTCCCAGGTCAGTTTTCCAAGTCAGATTCCCAGTTCAGATTCCCAGTTCAGATTCCCAAGTCAGATTCCCATGTCAGATTCCCTAGTTCGATTCCCAAGTAAGATTCCCAGGTCAGATTCCCACGTTAGATTCCCAAGTCAGATTCCCGTGTCAGATTCAGAAGTCGGGTTCTCGAGTCAGATTCCCAAGTGAGATTCCCCAGTCAGATTCCCAAGTCAGATTCCCAGCTCAGATTCCCAAGCCAAATTCCCAAGTCAGATGCCCCGAGACAAATTACTGAGTCAGATTCCGGAGTCAGACACCCATGTCAGGTTCCTGAGTCAGATTCCCTAGTCCGATTCCCAAGCCAGATTCCCAAGTTACATACCCGAGACAGATTCACAGGTCCGATTCCCAGGTCAGATTCCCATGTCAAATTCCCAAGTCAGATTCCCATGTCAGATTCCCACGTCACATTCCCAGGTCAGAATCCCAAGTCAGATTCCCAGGTCAGATTCCCACGTGAGATTCGCAGGTGATGTTCCCGAGTCAGATTCCCCCAAGTCAGATTCCTATGCGAAATTCCCAAGTCAGATTCCCAAGTCAGATTCCCAGGTCAGATTCCCTGGTCAGATTCCCAAGTCAGATTCCCTAGTCAGATTCCCACGTCAGATTCCCAAGTCAGATTCCCAGGTCACATTCCCAGGTCAGATTTCCAGGTCAGATTCCCAGGTCAGATTTCCAGGTCAGATTCCCAGGTGAGAATCCAAGGTGAGATTCCCAGGTGAGATTCCCAGGTGAGATTCCCAGGTGAGATTCCTGAGTCAGATTGCCAAGTCCGATTCCCAAGTCATATTCCCAGGTCAGATTCCCAGGTCACATTCCCAAGTCAGTCAGTTTCCCAGGTCGGTCGGATTCCCAAGTCAGATTCCCAGGTCACATTCCCAGGTCATATTCCTAGGTCAGCTGCCCAGGTCAGATTCCCAAGGTCACATTCCCAGGTCAGAATCCCAGGTCAGATTCCCAGGTCAGATTCCCACGTGAGATTCGCAGGTGATGTTCCCGAGTCAGATTCCCCCAAGTCAGATTCCTATGTGAAATTCCCAAGTCAGATTCCCAAGTCAGATTCCCAGGTCAGATTCCCTGGTCAGATTCCCAAGTCAGATTCCCTAGTCAGATTCCCAAGTCAGATTCCCAGGTCCCAAGCTGATCAGCCAGACGAGCTTCATCGGAGAAGGGGGGGGAGGTTTTTCAAGTCGAAGGTGTGTTGGGGGAAAGTCCCTCGCTTCGGAGGGGGTTGGCTGGGAATTGGCGAGTCGTCGTCAAGAACGTCTTCGTCTTTCCCGCAACATTCCCAACCAAACCGAGTCGCATCGAGCAATTCGTTCGGAAATTGGGGTTCGGTGTGCACGTCGAAGGAGAGTTGTAATCGTATTGCATCGACTCGCCAATTTTGTTATTAGACTTTCGCTGCAATGGACATCTTTTGTCCCACGAGTTGTAATCACTGGACAGTAAATTAGACACTTATGTTGTATGTATATTTGTTATATATAACTAAGTAAAAATTTTACAATATTATAACTCGATTTGAACGATTTTTTAAATATACATTCTCGTGATTTCATTCATTATTATACCCGCAAACCATAACAGATATTATTGGCAATGAAAAACAACCCTCAACAATACCTCTTCATCCAACATAAAGACAAGCCCTAATCAACTTCCAAAACACCAGCACGTCTTGAATCACATCCCTGATAACGAAGCACATCCACATGCAACTTGCCCCATCGCCCCCTTCAGAAAATAACCTCCACACCCTCTCCATTCAGGTCGCCTTCAACCACATCATCTACGTCACGGTCCCCCACGAAATCAAGGGCCAGGATGTTCTCTGGGACATCCACCCAATCCATGAGGTACAGCTTGCCGATGAAGTAGTTGTTGCCGTTGTACTTGGTGGCCTGGAACCGGTTGAGCAGGCGCTGGACGACGCGCTCCTGCCTTCCGAGGGCATCAGGATCTCCAGACCTTTCTAGCTGAATGCGTGCCATGTTCGGATTGCGCAACTTGTGACGAATCTGCAGATCAAGAGGGACGGAGGGATGGGCAGAGAGAGGAATGAAGGATGGGAACGAAGGGAGGAAGGGATGGAGAGAGAGGGGCGGGGGAATGGGCAGAGAGGA